AATTCTTTGAATTAATTGAATTTATTTTTGATATAAACGCATATATGAAGGGGCTACCAGCTGTCTAAACGTGACTCTGCGTTATCCTTGAAATTTGAGCTTTGACCTTTGAATTAAATTTAAGAAAATCGTGACCACTGTGGACAACGACGATATCAATATTTGGATGAGGCTTGTTCTCCCCTTTCCAATGATATCAAATACAGCCATGTGTTATTCCGTTAACCCAAATCGATAAAATTCGTTGACTGGGCACCCTACTAACACAATATGTCGAGCTCTTAATCGTCTCAAAAGTCCATACAAGTTATGAATGCATTTAATTGAAATAATCAACACTCTTTCTCCAATTAACGAAAAACTTTAAGATATGACACTCAACAAGTACTGAAGATGTTCCCCACTTTGAAAAATTGTGGTAGGTTTAAAATCTCAAACCTACTTTTTAATCAGTAGCCTAACATAACATAAATGAAGAAAATACAATAAAAAGCAGATAAATTATACCATAGTAGAATGCTCTCACACTTACTGATAGCAAGCTGCTGATAAGGTAGCCGTCCTACACTTAACATCGCGTGCTGCACTCCAAAGTAGATTTCATACACCAAAGTCATAAACAATACAGGAAGATATAATATTGAACAATGACACCCCCCTCCCCCTCAAAAAAAAAAATTAAAATTCAATGAATTGATATATATTTTCCCCCAAAATGCTAGACGTAATGATTGAATAACTACAGTGTAACCATGACATCTTTGTCGCTATTGATATAGCGAAAGTCTCGGATATACGCCTTACGAAAATTATACAAGAACTTTGCTGTTAAAAAACACCAAAAATCTTTTGTTTTGGAAAACTACTATTATTTCGTTTGTCTGACATATTATCTTTGTTGTGTGTTGATAGTTGTAGGGACAATTGACTTCTAGCCCGTTGTGGTTATACATTTGTTTTGTTTGTTTGTTTTTTTTAACGAAAATGTTCAATACAGGAGTATTATAGATCCACTCTTATGTATCCTATATATTCTTGTTCCTCTATGTTGTTGACAAAAATGTTTGTTTTCGACTAAAATTGAAATAAGTGTGGTTTTTTTCCACAAGAAAAAAAATATCTTGCCAAAAAAAGATGAATGGTCTTTGCAGTTTGTTGCTAAGTCAGATTGGTCGGATTTATAGAGTTTACTGAAGTCGTACCTTGGTTTTCACTAATTGACGAGTTCTAAGTGAAAAAAAACATTAAGTTTCAAGTTTTCGCTTGCCAAACAGCATGACAGGCTGTATCGAGTGCCTTTATGAGAATAACCCACAGCTGTAGGCACATTCAGCTACGATCATACAAACAGGTATAATGTCGGTTCCACATTTCAATTAATCTAGCTGTAAACAACAACAAAAATAGAAAAAAAAATAGTGTTCATTTATCGAATCTTGATGAAATGTGTACCACATAATATAATAAGCGTCATTTGTCTTTTATAAAGACTACCTATATTCACTACCGAAGATTGTGTTGTTTTCTTGCACTTCTGTTTAGTATAATCTATGTATAAGAAGAAGAATTGGTGGATGTGTCTCCGACCGAAGGAATATTTCCGTGTCTAAAATCTACAAGATACCAATCAAACAAACCATAGTGGCCATGATTGTCTCCTTAAAACATTCGAAGAGACGACTATCATGGAAATCTGGACATAAAACAAGTGTTTTAAAATATTGTATTACCATGGAGGTTTATACTCCATACCGAGGTGCTGCTGGAGTGTACAAAAATGAGACTTCCGCATTTAAAAATGGAAGCCATGATCTCTTTTGTCGTAAACTGTGGTTCTCAACCGTCCCTCCATATCGATTTCTACTTTTAAAAAGAATTGAATGCTTCATTTTATAAATTTTTTTGGGATGTAATAGCGTTGACCGAAACACATTTTGTATGAAGCGCTTCCAAAATGTGCGCACGATCAAACCTTTTACAACTATATAGATTATTTTAAAAAGAAGCATTTAATTCTTATACTACAAATTAGTAGTAATTACATCTTTATGCTACAACCATGAAATTAAGAATAATATCAAACTGTCGTTTGTATTTTTTATAGATTATGTTAACACTGTCACGGATAGCACGTGCAGCCATAGCTGTTGTACTTTATACGGAATTAGATATTGGAGTTCCTCGCGATTGTTTTCAGTAATCAACATTACAGAATTCTAATAGAACATACATGTTTTATACATGGAATGAAATTATTAGTAATTAAACCAAGGCATGAAGTGGACATACCTGTATTTATTGTGCCCAATAATATTGAACTTATTGTATCCTTTATTTCAAATTCAATTTGATACTGGATCCAATCAACATAGTATAGCGGAACGTTTAATACGATATTAAAGGGACATTAGCTACGAGATATGTGTTTGTTCAATCATTAATTAATAGAAGTGCGATAATGAAATAATAATTCGCTTTTAGCAGCCAATTTTGTTCAATTTTGTCAAAATAAGCAAAGAAACATCGCTGATGAATTATTCATTTGCAAATGAATAATTCGACCTCATTGAATCCGTATTTATGTGACCTTCAATTTAACCCATTAGCTAGAGATTGGTTATGCATGTATTAGTCGTGTTCAGCCATTAAAAGGAAAAGAGTGTCAACATTGAAAGTGAAACAAAGGTGAATCATTTCATTGACTGATTCGATCCACAAAAAATCATTCTTATACAGGTAAAAACGATGATTAACTTATTTTTTTAACCAATAACATGAAATCAAACAGACCTAGAAAAGTCCAATTGTACGAGGTCGCTATCTATTTATATTGTTGTTTATGTTTATATCGGGTTATGTGACCGTCGGCAGTCTTCGGAGGTCATCTCGATGGTAAACTAGATGGCGTCTAGACTAAAAAACACACGAAAAGCTGATATATATTATCGAGTACATGCATTGTTAACTGTTTATTTCAGACTTATTGTAATTTGGATATACGTTTTAGTATGTTATAAATCAAATATGAGAATTTGAGTCAAATCGGTGAACATGAATTTGACAGTAATGCCCCTTTAAAGAATAATTTGGCTAGAAATAGAGAAAATGTTTAAATTGATAATAACAGATAAATAACGTTGGATGTATGTTTAAGATGTTTTGGGCATCATGTCTTCATGATGTATCTGTATGAAATTATTCAACTGGTTTTAGTAAAAGGAAGCATTCGTTATCATGATAATGTGTTATTTATTTTGATTTTCTGTTAACTTCTATATAATTGTTGTACAGTTAAGTGCTTTTTTCAGTATGCCCGTCCGCCCATCCGTCTGGGGAAAAAGTATGGGTAAGACGCAGATGAAATTTTGTAAAGTTGTTGTGAATAGTCTTCACATGCTTTATATAATTAGATGGTTATCGGTCAGCTTATGTATAGTTTGAAGCAAAAAGCAATAGGATTTTTTGCAAAAACCGTTTGAATCCACAGATATTTTTTACATATCCCTCAATTGTTTCGGTTCTTATACATCCTTGTCAACTATTCGGCATTGGTCGTTCCTGATGAATGTAAATCAAGAAAAGCACTTCGGACGCATGACATTTATAAAGTGTTGTTTTTATTTTTTTTCTCAAGTATTGTCTTTGTGTCTTTATGGAGTTTAGCCATAAACTGTGATTCGTAACAATTAAGATTATCTGTAAAAGATGTCTATAGTTAGTACCTATTGGAATGCAAATCACTTGGCGTGAGGATTTTCAAATGAACAGAAATATTATCTAGGAAACTTATTTGATTATTGCATGTCCAATAAGTATATTTTTTGTTAGTTCTTTTACGTAAATAGCTATTATGAAGGTAATTTTTGAATTTTCGAGTGAGTCAGTATTTATATTAAAAATAAGCAATGCTTCCTTTTAACTGTAAATGAAAAAAATAGTAATTTCGAAAAGATTGAAAAAAATGTCTGTTAGAAGTTATCGGCATTCGCTATATGGTGATTTCGGCAAAGCCTAGATTTAAAATTGACACACAGCAAATTCATAAAAAAATGATAGTCACAAAGTAAAGAATACCGATCGAACCTGATGGTTGGTCTTGCAGTTGCAGGAAGGAAAGAGTTTAAAAAATGATCTCTATGTTGAGGATTTCACTGGGACTGTGAGATGAAGAACAACAAGAAGGGTGTTGTTCCTTTGCCTGTGTTTGTATCATGCACCTGTAGTGATATTGTGACATGAATTGATACACCATAATTTTTTTTTCCATTACATGTTTATGCTGCGTTCACACGTAATTCGAATTCGATTCGCATTGACTAATTCGAATTAGTTTAATTCGCATTCGAAACGTTTTACGTCCAAACGTAAATTCTTATTCGAATTGCACTGCGCGTCAAATTCGCTTTACTGTCCGAGCGACGTTAACTTTTAATTCGTATTATCAAAAACGCATTTCTAATTCGAATTAAAAAAGAAGAGTGTGTGAACGCGATTAGCGAATTCGATTCGCATTCGATTCGAATTCAATTCGAATTAAATGTACGTGTGAACGAGGCATTGTTTTAGTCTTTTTTAATGTCCACATATGTTCCATTTCTAAAATATTACATATCGAAGAGGACGTATGTGTTTTATCGTTAAAGATAAACTACTATTTGAATATTATTAATTCATTGTAATTAATTTTGTTTATAGAAATGTCTCCTTTTATTCACTTGAATTTATTCTGATAGCTAAAGCCATTTCTTATGCCTCAGAAATCCATTAAATAATATGTAGTTAAACTAGCTTTTGACTTATTTTTTAAGAAGTAAGCGTAAACACTAGTGGCTTTGATCAATATTGAGTAAACAAATCTATACTACATGACGTGATTAAAAATTTTGAGAACAAACTCTTGTTTATAAGAAAAAACATCAACCTCGTTAGAACACGTGATTTGAATTCGTTAACAGTTAAATATCATTTGTTGTTTATCTTATTTTCATAGAGAGGAAGTACATATGTATATAGTTCGTTGGACAGATTTATTTTTTCAAGCTGTTATTATGATAACCTTCAAAATTGTCAAACATTTGCAATGCATAAATTGCCTTTCTTAACCACTGCGCAGTTAATTTAAGAGAAACCTTGTAATGGATCGGAAGTTTAGTTGGTCTTACATGGGTTTTTGCTGTATTTTGTCGATTGTCGGAGTATTACCGTCCCTAGGTTCTGAATGCAAAGGTGAAAGTTGTGGAGATGTGATTTCAATGCCGTTGTTGGATGATATGAAAGCTACATTAAAGGCTAATTTAGATGTTACAAATATGAACAATCATTTGAAAGCATACATCGAACAACAGATACAGAAGGGTGTTGAAACAGCTATGAAAGATGTTATGAGACAGTTGATTGATAACAAACTAGAAAAGGTCAATGCTACAATAGAAGCAACAATCCTCGCAGAACTTGAACGTATGTATTTTTATATTACTTCTTTTCTATTTTCATTTTTTGAAGACATGTAGATAGTATTTCGTTTATTAAAATAATATATGTACGTGGGAAATCTTTTGTGTAATTCGTGTAAGATAAAGTAAGAAAATCACTAATGAAAGTTTTTATTATTGCGAACCTGAAACTGTTGCATATTTCTCATTGATAAAAACATCGCTAAAATTTCTGAATTTACAGTATTTGTTTTTTTAAATTTTTGGATCCATTGTATAATGTCGGTGTCGGTGTATCTGAAGTAACTGATAGTAAAGTGATAACGGAAAACAATCATTTAATAATAACTGCTGCTACAGTCAATTATATATTATAGTGACCATATTCGAATGCCAATAATAAGGTATTGAATTTGTATTTCTTTTCTCACATACCTTAGATTTTATCTAATCTGGCGAGACATAGAGATTGTTTTTTTTTTCGGTCAATATATCTGGTACCTCCTGTCATTTTGCAAGTTGGTTCTTATTGAAATCGTCCGTCTTTTTATTGGATATCGAAATTACATAGGTGACCTTACAAATAACGCGCAATTGCTTAGTCTGTCAAATGCCCAACAAAACATTTTTCCAAACTTCTAACTTCTATTTTAGCAGCAATCAAAAAGGACATCAAAGTAACTGGGAAAATATCTAACATTTGGGTGGTATGAATCAGATGAAAAAGAAAGAAAAACAAATATTGTTTTTTAAAGGAAAAATTTTTAGTTTGTAATACAATACAGAATTTTTTTTTTAATATCTCTAAAATCCTAATAATCAGAGTCTTGATTATTGTATTGACAATGTATATGCTACAACTGATCTAGTTGTTATTGAATAGACAGCCGACATTCCTATGGGAAACAACTAAGATCATATTCCTGTCCATTTGCAGATTTCAAGCTGTCAGGAAAAATAAAAAGAAGCTAGAATTATCTTTATATAAAATATATACAGATGATATTCTTTAACTGAATAATTCAAATCTTGGTGACTATGTTGACAACTTCTATTCGCGTGTACTTGATATAAAGGATACCACAGACACGTTGAAGTCTGCATATATCTTGATTTACATCTCTAGAAATTAAAAAGAAAGGTTGGTTGGAATCTTTTAACTTTACGACAAAGAAGATGATTCCGATTTTCACATTGTGCACTTTCCATTTATATACAACATTCCAGCAGCGTCTTTATATTGCGTACGATGTACATATCAAACAGTTGATACGATTTGCCAAGGCTTCCCTTTCATAACACGAGTTCTTTAATATATAGTTGGGTTGTTGCCGACAGAAATCCTCTTAAACCATGGGTTTCTAAAGCTAAAAGTCGTTACTCCGAAAGATTTACTGATAACTCAATATTTAATTGGTTGACAAATAAGGAATAATTATGTCACAGATCTGAAAACACGAATATGTTCATCTTGTCGTAGCTACAATCTCGTCCTCTTTTCTGTATTGGCTTTGAGTATACATTAATTGTAATTAATTATACTACGTATATTTATATTTATGATAATTGTGTTTAATAATTTAACAGGATATGGTATTACCTATGTCAGATGGGGAAGAAAAAATTGTTCTGATGGTGCTGAACTTGTTTATACAGGTAAAGTGTTTATTAAATTCACGGAGTATCCTTAACATTTCTTTAGTTATACTGTTGATTTTTTTCAGCAGACAGCTGTAATCATTGACTTAAAACGTCAATGTACAACGCAATCTTATTATTGTGGTCATCATCATCCACGCAGTTACTTTGTACAAAAAAGTATATACTATGAAACCTTGTGAAAAGAAATTCAAACAATTTGATGATGATGATGATGATGATGATGATGATGATGATGATGTTGTTGTGGGAAAATTTACATAAAACACTACTATCTTTTACAAACATCTGTGAAACAAATTGTCAACCAAAATAACTTATCAATTAGACCACTTGAGTTGGAATATGTGCTTAACTGGATATTCAATGAAGAGGTATATACTATGAAATTAAGAGCTCGGGGTAAGCCCCTCATTCTAAATTTCATAGTATATCTTTTCATAGACTAACTGTTACCTTTACCGACTAGCGGAAGATCTTATGTAAGCAGGATCTCATAGTTCAACGTATGCTCATTCAGAATCATTGCATTTTAATTGCTTTGAACAATACTTTGTTAATTTGAAATGTATGACCAATAATTTCAAAGCTTGTATTTTTTTTTATAAGAGGTGCTCAACTCATTAGATATTTTAGTGAAACATCTTTTTGCATCAGGATTAATGCATTCCTGTATATAAGCTATGATCATTTACGGCTAGAGTGTAACCTTTTCGGATTTGAATATGAAGTTAAAACGAACGGCAAAATGAAGAAATAAATGTGCATTCATTTATATATATAACTGTATAATTGCAAATCAACGTTTCCATTATAAAAAAAAATCACAGCATGAACACTGCTCATATAGACACCCATCTGCAATAACAATTCGGGAACAGGTCATTTAGACGACTTTCTACTGTTGTGGGAAGATATATGTAATGGTAAAAATATGCTAATAACACTCTCGTGCAACTCGGTAACTCGGTTAAGTGTAGATGAGTCATAATCACAAAGAACATGACTGCTTCTACACCCATATGCACAGTTTAAATGTCAATACCATTGACGTAATGATCTTTTAAAAGTGAAAAACTGTTTTATACTGAGGTTGCTTGGTAAACACCACATTACATCCGCACGATATTACATGCATTACTCCTTTCGAAATTGAAATTTATGTAAACATTGCTTTCGAGGATCCTTGTTACGGATTCTCAGTCTAAATTGAAAAGCATATCTTAGATCTATCATCTCGCATATAACTCATAATAAACTTCTCAGAGCTTTTAACATTGACAAAGATGACGTCAAAAAACACTTTCTCTTAAAAATAATCCTGTAACTTTGGTATCTTTGATTTTTTCTTCATCATTTTCTAACATTATAAAATTGAGAATGGAAATGGGGAATGTGTCAAAGAGACAACAACCCGACCATAGAACAGACAACAGCAGAAGGTCACCAACAGGTCTTCAATGCAGCGAGAAATTCCCGCACCCGGAGGCGTCCTTCAGCTGGCCCCTAAACAAATATATATACTAGTTCAGTGATAATGAACGCCATACTAAACTCCAAATTGTACACAAGAAACTAAAATTAAAAATAATACAAGACTAACAAAGGCTAGAGGCTCCTGACTTGGGACAGGCGCAAAAATGTTGCGGGGTTAAACATGTTTATGAGATCTCAACCCTCCCCCTATACCTCAAGCCAATGTAGAAAAGTAAACGCATAACAATACGCACATTAAAATTCAGTTCAAGAGAAGTCCGAGTCTGATGTCAGAAGATGTAACCAAAGAAAATAAACAAAATGACAATAATACATAAATAACAACAGACTTCTAGCAGTTAACTGACATGCCAGCTCCAGACTTCAATTAAACTGATTGAAAGATTATGTCTTCATCATATGAATATCAGGCACAATCCTTCCCGTTAGGGGTTTAGTATCATACCTTCATAACATATATGAGAAGAAGATAACCCGTGTCATGCCAACAACTGGTTTTTAAATAAATGTGTTTAGTGCCGATGCAAAGACCCTATAAGTGAATCAGTATTAACGCCAAAATATGCAATCTTTAATGACCTGACAACAGTATCGTAACTATATCCCTTCTTAATAAGTCTATTTAAAGGTTTTGTTAGCTTCAGAGGTGAAAACTGACATTTTTGTGCTTTATAAAGAATATTTCCATAAAAAATTCAATGTGAAATACCTGAACGTATAAGAAGTCTGCATGTTGAGCTATATTTACGAATGATGTCCTTATACCGATGATAAAATTTAGTAAATGTTTTGCCTAGTTTGTGATATCAAAAACCCTGGTGTAATAATTTTTCAGTAATACATAAATTTCTCTCGTTAAAATCTACAACATTGTTACATACACGTGCGAATGTACAAGTTGAGATATATAAACACCGTAAGATGGTGACAAGAGAACGTCACCATCTAAAAATGGATAATTAACGATAGGAAATGAAAAATCATCTTTTTTATCATATATTTTAGTATTAAGCTTTCCGTTAATGATATAGATATCAAGATCGAGGAAAGGGCAGTGGTCATTGTTAGTATTAGCTTTATTTAAAGTAAGTTCAACAGGATAAATTTCTTTAGTATACATACGGAAGTCGTCATTATTGAGAGCCAAAATATACCTACTTAAATGATCAGCCTGTCTTAACAATCATTAAGGTACAATATTTGGCAATATATCTATGTATGTTCAACAATTGAAAACGAATAATCTGATTGCAACTCCGGCCATCGGGGATTCTTATCTAGACACACCTATCTCTCAGTTTATAACTATTACAGCTTGCTTGTTAGCTGAACCATTAAATCATCATAATCAGCTAAGGTACTTCTTTTCTTTGGGAGGAGTCATTAAGTAAGCAGGGAACCAATCAAAAGTAGGAACAGTATATAAACATTGTGAAACAATTCTATATAACAATGATTTAATCGATTTAAAAAAAAATTATATATATATATATAATAAGGATATCATTATCTTCGATTTTGATGTGTATTTACAGAAGGTTTAAAAATAAACTAAGTCGAGTTTAATCTTTGAGATGTTCTCCTAACCATGCTATTGTAAAAATTGTATTGTATTGACTATTGTTTTGATTAAAATAACATTGACACCAACAACATGCAGGTGAATAAGCTTACAATTAAGGTTGGTGACCATTTCGTAAGGCCTGTGTATTATGAAATTTTCAAAGGGCTACAATATCAAAACAGTAAAAATACAGAATAAAAATGACGTGCCATTTTGTACATATACCAAAGGAAAAGTTGTTCAAAGCAATACTGTTAAATATTTCATTGCATTTGATGTTTGTAAACGGCAGTGTAGAAATTTCATAAGCAAGTACAACATTTCCGCAAGTTGTTCTATTTCAGACAAGTATGATAGGATGGTCACTTATCTGTGTCCACACTTGTTATCTATAGCTCTATACAAACAAAATTTTTTTTAATTTATTGTAAATATGTTCAGATTATTTTAGAATTTCCCTAGCATGTACCTTCTTGTAATTTTTAATATATTGAAGTTAAGAAGTATTATCTAGATGTACTCGTAGATCAAGTGCAATGCAAACCAATGCGTTACATCTTTTTCTCTCTTTTTTTCCAACTCTCCCTTATTTGCAAAATTAATCTCTTTAAACATATCACCCAAGAATTATGGCAAATGATAATAGAAAAAAAAACATATTTACAAATTGTTCCTTACAAATGAAATATATCGAAAGCAGTACATTATTCACTCTATATACAGAAGTAAAATAAATTGATGACCATTATTGTCGAAAAGTATTCTCATGACATAATCTTAATCTTAATCCATAAATATTTCATAGTAATTACTAATAAATGTCTCTAATAAAATTGATTGAAAAAGAGTTTGAAACTCGGATTTCTCCAACAAAATATAATCCCACATATACCTCTACATCATTCAAGAAAGAGCAGATTTTAGAAAATTAAAATTCCATCCTTCTCTCCTTTGGTTCCAACTACCTCAGCTAAAGTTAATTTTGGATTAATTTATCTATACGCTTAAGGTCCATTTTGGTCATAAAGCTCCAACCGGTTCTATGTATTTATACATCCCTGGCTTTTATGTGTTAAGGTATGAACGTTCCTGATGAAGGTAAATCCAGACTAAGTTTTATTTTATTTAACATCAATTCCTCCGCTATTTTTCAAAAAGTCAAATGAATCAATTTTATCCGTGAAATGCCTTAACCTTAGAAAGAGGCGGAAGATACAAAGGTAATATTCGAAACTCATAAGTCGATGAAAAATTGACAGCACTATTGAAAAAAGGAAAGACGACGAAAAGAAAAAAATCCACAAAACACTAGATACAAAACTAAAGCATGTGAGGAACAGGAACAGAATTATTCGTCTGGCAAATAATTATAAGCCTTATCAAAGCTTATCTATGAAATCTCAAACGATTAACTGTCGTTCTTAGATGTTGATGTTATTAAAGGTCAAAGATTTACAACACATGGCATTCTTGACCTTGAAATACATTTTTAGATCTAAAGAAACATATTCGTTTCTCTGCATCGGCATAGCTGTCACTCACATCCTGTTTTTCGAGGATGTATTTAAGGGAAAGCAGTACGAAAGATAAGAAACACAAGTGACCACAAAAATATAAAGGAAAAAGAAAAAATATTCCTTTAGTTTTGATAACTAAATATAACCCACATTTACGAAAAATAAAAATAAAACGTATCATGATACACCAGCATTTATTGCCGTTTGACGAAGAATGTATACACGTGTTCATAGCAATGTTGAATGCATCAATGTTGAACCAACAGCTTCGTATATAAAACATAAAAGTGAAGGAGACATGCTTACTAGATCAAAGTTAAAGACTCTAACATGAAATTGAGTCAGGTACTATCTATTGATGAAGAATTTAAATATGAATATATCAATATATACAAGAATAATATTTATATTTGATTATTTATCTTAAGATGACAATCCCAAGCTTTAACTACCGCAACACTTAAATAGTGGTATCTCCTTTCAAAGCATGAATAGATAGATTTATTTGATCAAATATCAACATAAAACGTTACAAAACTTGTATAAAACAATAGCAAACATTCAGACATTTTAAAATCATAAATTAAATGTTGATACCTGATCTGGATATCCGATGAAAGCCTAACTGCTTATTTCCAATGGGGTCCATTTACGTTGCACTCTTAAAGATATAAAATTACAGTAATAAGAAATATTGACTTTGGCAGGTTTTATACCACTTATTCTGAAATCATAATTGACGATGACATTGACTAGAACATTCAAGCATTCAATAAAATAAAAATTTGCTATCAAACTCGTTGCTCTCCTTGAACAACACATGCAGACTCTATCAACTTAATAATCAATTAATCAATTAACAGACGACAGATTCGATTAGTCTCGATCAAACATCAACTGTCAACTCAAAATAACTTTTACAAATAATCAAAACTCATACGAGCCACAAAACTACTATACTCACTGAAAGTCATTAAGGAGTTTAGTCTTATGTACATTTTGATAATATTTGGTCAAAGTTAATCTTGTATGGAAACAAAAAATAATTATAAATCAACAAAATCACAATAATGACAAAAAACGTGGTTCATTTGTTTTTTATTTGGTATTCCATTGAGGATAACATGCCTCATTAAACAATTTCTTTTCATTGTATCTAAGATTAATGAAACAATCACGTAATTTACATTCAGAAAATATTTGAAAAAATGTTATTGTTGACCTTTGTCTCCATAATGCAAAATTGTGATCACTTCTCAGAATTACGAAAGCATTAGTATGAAGTTTCACTATTTCCTTATTTCAATGGTATACAATTTAGCCGTGTTGTTGTTAGGTACTTTAAATTTTTCTATTTGTCGAGTCTGCGAGTAGCGATCCTACATTCGATCGTCGTCAACATATAGGTTCAGTCTGTGGTTAAAGTTTTTTATACGTCAACAACTTTTTTAAACCTTCGTGGAATTTTATGAAATTTGGACAGAACCTTTTTTCTGACCAAACAACAGTGTCCAGAAAATAGTTTTGTAAACATTTTTTCATTTTGTCCGAAATTTGAAAACATGGTTTCATTTTTCTGAATTTTACTGGTAAATGGTCTTAATTTTGTTTTTTCATTAACATGTCGATGCAGTCTGGTGTAAAAGTTTGTAAGAGGTCAATTTCTTCATAGAATTTTATCAAACTCGGACAGCAATGTTTGGTGATTAGGAAACAAAGTCTGAAGCAAAATGTTTTCCAGTGTTTTTCTGATCGATGGACTTTTTTTCAGATAAAATTTACAGACGGTCAGGGATTTCATTATTTTGACACAATAAATGTGTAAATCTTCATGGATTGTTTTGAAACATGGACAGAAGCAAATCTTCTAGATCAAGAAATAGTAAATACATGTAGTATCTGAAGAAAAAAGTTAGATCAAAACAAAGTCTGTATTTTACTGATTATTGAACTTACTTTTTACAGGAGTCGTGAGCAGGCCACATTTCACTTTTATAAGGAAAGCAACAACCGTAGGCGTGACACAGGGTTCTGTGGAACCTTTCACGAATTTTGTTTCCACCGACGGCTTATAACAAGAAATATAATGTTTTTTTATGTTACCTTTACAATTCTTATATACCAGACGCTCAAATTAAATTTGTATTAAGTCATATCTGTATAATCCATCATAGCGTGCTAACATAATATACTTCAATAACATTTTTGTTTGTTGTAGGTCAAGCTGGTGGTAATCGTTATAGTTATAACGGCGGCGGTGTTAATTATCTTTGTCTTCCAAATGATCCAGAAAATGGAGAACACCAATCATATGACAATCCTCAGCTTTTTGGTGCTGAATATGAGATATATGCAGATCGGAACCCACGCGGAATGTCGGCCAACTTGGGTAACAGAGAGGTACCATGCGCTGTCTGCCACAGGAAGCGGAGGTCTTCAGTAATAACAATCCCTGGTAAATACTTGTCATTTGAGATAAAAATCAAAGGCTTATGAATAAGATATTGGTGTTTATTGTTTAAGTCCAGCCTTCACAGTTATCGCCGCTTTGCGGCAAAAGAGGATCAATAATTATATTATAGAATTTGTTGTTACCCGTGCATGCAAATTCCGGATTGTCATGCTTTTTTTTTTGGCAGTAGTTGGTTGATCAAAGTCTTAGAGTACGAAAATCAGTTCTGTCAAGGACTGATTATAAAATGGAGAAGTAATGTTTAAAGTCAAGGAAAATATATAAACACATATCACCGAGTTAAGCGTTGCTTCTAAACATATCTTTCAGTTGCATGCATTTATCAGAGACACGAGAACTTGCGAAAACATAGCTTTTTTGTTTATTGAAAAAGTTGTGAAAACATGAGATTTTTATTTAATTTTTCTATGTGCGTTCCCGTGCGACAATTTTATTCTTTAACATCGATCTTTTTCCTATGTCTATAATAAGATGAGTATCAAGAATTGCTTCCCGTATACCACGGATTTGACTATTTCATGAATCAAAACTGATTAGGAGTAACTTTCAGTAGCCTAACATTAAGAGAAGATTGTTTGGTGGTCCAAAATTGTGTATGCTAAATTTTCATAAGATAACAGTAAAACAGCTGAAAATCAAGTAAATGTCACCTAATTACGAAATTACAAAAACGTGTATGCCAATACATTGACTGAAATAAGAAACCACGAAACCCACGAAAATTGGTATCCAATGAATAATAATGAATCCACAGTAAGAGACCTTTTAAATGACGGAATACGGAAAAAATCATAATAAAAAATTCCCGTATGAAGCTTTAAAAAGGACATAACGGTAGTACAAACGCCTGCAATGCCAGTTAAATCCACCTGACCGATTTCTGGGAAACATTCATCGGGTGCGATCTGAACTGATCATGCAAAACGCATAACACGTCATGTTTCAGAATCATGATGGGTTAAACAAATATCAGAAGGTAAAACAAAGTCAGTTTGTTGCTGACCTTCAATATACGGAAAACATAATATATAATGGTATACCTTTAAGAATAAATATTCATTAATCAAGTTATATCAAGTTGTCAGGAATTACTCATAATCAAAGCCCTCTAATCATATGTTTATTTACAGGTAGAAAAACCTGCTACAAAGACTGGAACGTTGAATATAATGGATACTTAATGGCATCTCATGTCAACTACAAAAGGACTGATTACGTATGTATCGATGTCAATGCCGAACAATTTGACAATAAATCAGCCACTGATGAAGACGGTGCCCTCTTCTATCCAATCAGAACCAGCTGTGGTAGTTTGAGGTGCCCTCCATACAAAGCAAATGCAGATGTTTTATGTGTGCTATGCACCAAGTGAAATACCCATTATAAGACTAATAACATCAAAAGCAAATATACAAAAATAATAAAAACGAAGCGTTTCCAACCTTTTATATTTTATTAAAATCATATGCATGTTGTATTTTGTTTTTTATTTGGTTCGGCAGTTGATATCATTAGTTCAAATTGAAATGAGCATGAGCGAGCGACGGAGTCTTTTTATAATTGATATGATACAAATCATAATTAAGTATTAACAAAAATACAAAATATACTCCAAGGTAAATTCAAAAAGTTGGAAGTCCATAAACCTGCAATACCATAGCGTTAGACTATATCAACAACGGATCGAACGAATGGGAAACATATGTCATATTCCTGACTTGGTTCAGACATGTTTCGACAAAAATGGGGTTAAACCTTCTTTTATAGATAGCTAAACCTCCCACTTATCTGACACAGTTCTTTGTAGTTACGTTATATTGACAAAATAAGGTGAGTTACACAAATAGACATAATTGGTAATTGTGACAATAACTGGGACCCAAAAATGTGTAAAATACGTCACAAACATACAACAAATAAATCTGACAAAGACGCCAACAAAAAATGTATTTCAGTTGATAGTTCATCGATCTCACAAAGACGCTGACAAACAATGTTTTTATAGTTACTAGTACATACAGTAAATTGCAAAATAATGCCTAACTAGTTTACACTTTCCCTATAAAGTACAAATATAGTAAAATATAAATACAAGGGTAAACAAAATGAAAACAAAACTATAAAAACGCATGCGTCCGAATCATTAGGAACGCAAATATACAAATTCAGCACCTAAAATCTACAACTAAAGACCATCTTGTATTCTTTGTTAAGACTGTTTATTATCTATTAGGTTATGGTACTTTTCGATGAACATGTTTTAACAAAAAGACGAGACGTTCTTCGACAATATCCTGCATTGGGTCATCAATTATTAACTAAACACCGATGCCGTTTTACAAAGGCTGAGTAGCAACTGCAAGCTCTTAAATATAGTATTTAAATATTTCCACCTTATTGTGTAAATTATATTTGTTAGACACAGATCGACGTCCGGTCTCTTATCGACGTCCGTTCCTTAAATCGACGTCCAAATTTGACGTCACGTTCTCAAATCAGTGTCCAATATTTTGACTCTCTAATCGACGTCCAATGTGACTTTTCTGGATTTACCTTCATCAAGAACTAGTAGCTTACCGAAACTATAACTGTTTTCTTTTATTGGTATCAAAATAAAAGGACATATTTAACATCAGAAAATGACAATAAGACGATCACCGACATCATTATTACTTTTACATGTACATGCATAGTAATATTTTGGTGAAAGACGTTCATATTCTCGACCTACGTTGTCGTTTTCTTTTCTTGTTCATATAAACAAATAAATACGGGTATACATTGTACGACAATGAGACTACAACCAAAAGACAAAGATAATCGAAAGACATCTAGAGGACAGTACATCTATAGCCCTATACAATGCTATACAGACTCAAACAATAGAAAGAATAAAAACGTACGGCAAATTGTTGAAAAATATTATAATTTGGTCTTATGTTTTTCAACAACTTTTTAAGTTTTAGGTTCAACCCACCCTTTAATAAAGATGACATTTCACTGGACTTCGATTGGAGAAGCAAAAACATGGACGTCAATTTGAGAACAACAAAAAAGACGTCGATTAGAGGGACATAAAATTGGCCGTCGATTTGGAATATTATTTTATTGTGACGTCAGATTTGGATGTCGATTTGAGGAACGGACGTCGATTAGAGACCGGACGTCTATCTGAGTCTTACATATTTATTCAAAATAAACTAGTTACCCTTTCTGTAATATTGTTCCCATTTTTCAACTTTGTTCCTTGTAATCGATATATTTGAATGAAGCCTTGAAAACTGATTACTAAGCAAACATTGTGTAAGGATGCAGAATGAAAACGAGATTTGAACAAATTGCAATTAATTTTGAAATAACCTCAAATTTAACATGAAGGGAATACAAACGTAAAGTTAAGCTATGACATTACCAAAAAGAAATACACAAACGGGTAAGGCCGAAGGGTCTCCATCTGTTAGCTTTTATTATTCACATTTTTCTCTTAAGAAAAATTGCACAGAATAAAAACAAACTTAACAAATATGTTCCTTAAAATCTCCTTTCCCGGTGTTGTTACTTTGTGCTAATTCGTCCGCAAATATTGCTGTCATTGCCTTTTCAAATTTCTACCTGGCTGCATTTCTGGGAAAAGTTCTCAACAACTGCTGAAATAATTGACAGGAATGTATCTGTAATAGGCTTAAATAAGTGTTTGTTGTTACCAATCGGAAACTCGAAATGGCGGAAGTGAAAGTTGAATCCTACGGGAAATTTATATTATCTTTTCTTCCAAAAGCTGGTACAAAGAAATGAAAACAAACCCCTACATGATCTTTTAAAGGTCATAACCACTTGTTGTCACTATGATCCAAATGATTGATTGATTGATTGTTGGTTGCTTAAAGTCCAGTGCGATCTAGATAATAGGTCAAATATGGCTTCAAAGGACCAAAATGAGATCATATTGGTCAATTTTCAATTATTTTCTTCAGGAGAACTACTGAACCGATTAAAACAATTACGAGATATGTTCCTGTAATGGTCGTTAACCAGTATTGGTACTTTCATGTCGATCGGTAATAAAATATTACCTGGAATAGAGAAGGAAGAAAATCGAAAAAAACATGTGCTTTATAAAGTACTTATACTTATTTTGTTAACTTGGTTCTCATGAAAAATCTATATATCCCACTTGGGCGTAGAGATTAAACGAGACAAATTTGTCATGCACTTTCAATAAAGATATAAATCTTAATGTATGTTTGTTCAATACATTCATTTTCTTATTATGTTCATTCTAAGTCAGTCCGATACACAAGTTCCAATAGCAATTACTACTTAGTATTTAATGTCTTCTAAATTATAATTGCAAAATAAGATATGTTGTTTAATATTTAATGTTAACCCAAACATTTTGAGAATCTGAACCCATTACAGACGTCGAAGAGCTTTTAACCAAAAAGCACCAAAATTAATCAAATTAATGTCACCAGTTACATTTAATTAATTTTTTTACAATTCATTTGTTCAGATTCAGGAGGATTATTCCTTGCTGAAAATATTAAGATTAAGATTAAGATAAATTTTCCTGCGAATAAAAAGATAAAAAAAATTTACAAATGGAGAAGATAGGATAATTATGACCAGCTATAAACAGTTAACAGCGTCGGAAATATGACGAAATTTCCCTTTTCTCAAATATTTGAGGTCTGAAATATGGTTTGGATTTTTTGTCTGTCTATATATTATTATTCTCTTGTTGTTAAATGAAATTAGGAATATTTTATTTTTATAAAAATATCAATTAATATTTTATTTTTACTATGAATGTGTATTATAAATATGGTAACTTCTCACAAATACTTAAAACTATTTTGTGTATACCTGCTTTGACTAATGTTTACGACTATAGATACTTTGAAACTTTAACGCAGTGACTTAGGCAAATACTAAGTAAACAAATCTATAAACATGACATCAGATATAATCATCTGTGCAATTTTGTTTATATTTAAAAAAAAATAAAAAATAAAAAGTGAAACACGATACTTAACACGCAAGAATTGATAAACCGTTCAATATCATATGTTGCTAATTTAGCTTTTTTAAAGAAATCTAATATTTAGTAGTTCGTGGAAAATACTTTTTTTTCAAAACTGTAAATCTGGTTTACTTCAAAGTTGTAAATCATTTGCAATACATTACTTCTTATTGTTGATCACTGCGCAGTAAATTTCACACTTTACTATGGCTAGGAACAGTGGGGTTAACACTGGCTTTAACTGTATTTTACTGGCCGTCGGAGTTTTACGTTCCTTAGCTTCTGAATGCGTTGGTGAAAATTGTAAAAATGTGATTTCCATGCCCTTAATGGATAAAATGAAAGCTACATTAAAGGCTGATTTAGATGTTACAAATATGAACAATCATTTGAAAGCATACATCGAACAACAAACACAGAAAAGTGTTGGAACAGCTATGAAAGATGACATGAAACAGTTGATTGATAACAAACTTAAAGAGATCAATGCTAAAATAGAATCAACAATTCTTGAAGAGCTCAAACGTATGTCATTTATATTTTAATTCTTTTGTATACTGTAAACCAACATATTTTCGCAAGCGATTTATTTTCGCTTATTTCGCGAAAAAAAATCGCCTCGAATAAGTCCCTTAATTTTAATTGGGCATGTACCAAAAAAAAAGTTTACAATTATAGGTCAAAGTACGGCCTTCAACACGGAGCCTTGGCTTATACCGGAAAGCAAGCTATAAAGGGCCCAAATGACTAGTGTAAGACAATTCAAACAGGAAAACCAATGGTCTAATGAACCACACCAACATACGACAACCACTGAACAACAGGCTCCTGACTTAGGACAGGTGCATAAAAATGCAAATTTAAATTCATCAAAATTAATAGGCGGTTTGCGTGCTGCTTTTGTCCCTTTCCATTTTACAAAACCTATTCTCTTAAGAAAAGACTCGTCCCAAGATCTATGAAGAGCAAAATGTCCACCGTACTCTCGTAGCATACTTCTGCACTTATGCTCCAAGATTCCTGTAGCACAGGCTATCAAAATGTGTTTGTTTACAATTGCACCCATTGCAAGAAGTTTCTTCACGTAATTCCCTACTTCTTCGTCGTATTTTCCTAGCAATTTTGGTGACCTACTGGACTTCTGCATAATATTCAACATTTTTTTTTCTCTAGAGTTTTGTTCAGTTCCTGGATATATTGTTTTTTTTCATAGATCTAACAGTACTTTCATTTATAGTTTATCCAACAGTTTAGAAAAATGTTTCGCAGCACTGGTATTCCAATGTTCACAAGCGTATCTTGGTATTTTAGCTCTCTGTTCTGATGAATAATTCGAATATTCGCCGCGTTTTCTTTTTCGGTTAGGAGACTGAAGAACATCTTTAACTGACAAATTTGGAACAGTGACTGTTTCAGCGTCCTTTTCAACATTAGGATCTGGCCGTAAAGAAT